TATAATATGGATGCTTCCATCATAGCATTTGGATTCTCCAAACTACAAACAGAATCTGAATGTTGCTACCATTACCAAGCAGTATTATACTTCAGGAACTGGATTCTGATCAGGCTGATACTTCTCCAGATTTCAATTATGCTTCATAACTTTTGTCCAAACTATCAATATCTATTTGGCTACTAAGATCCGAATTGTGATATCCTAAATTTAAATTAGACTGCTAGGATCAGGACTGTTATCTCCCAAGTTTAAATTTAAATTTACTTTAATACTGTAGAATCACTGCGTTTTGTGTTTAATATTCATTAATTATGTGGAATCCTTATTTCCAGAAAGATAAAACAACACCGAATATTGATATTAAGCCAGAGTTAGAAATAATTATTTTTCTTTACTGGTCACTCAGACTATCGCCTTAAATTTTTACTGGTCAGCTTAGTACTTTCACTGTCCCACTGGGCCAGTATATTTTAAAAAGACTGGCCCAAAACCATAATATTAATATTTTTTTTATATTTTAATACTTAGATGTACAACTTAACAAAACAAGAAACAGCAGAAGTTGGGACACACAACCCTGTCAAGTTAACTAGCCCGACATTGAATGAATTTTGTTATGCATAAAAAATGCTGACCCAAAGGGCACATGCCTTCTGCAATGCACTAGCCCAGATTGAAAATTCACTGGTCCCAGACCGGCGGGCCACCAATTATTTTGAGCCCTGTAAGTTATGTCTCATAAAGAAGCGTTGGCCTATGATATTATGGCCCTACACAGGGGTGTGCAATTAAAAAAATCAAGTACTAGCCCATGGGCTAGTGGCAGCAGTAAAGTTCCTTGCCCCAAGTAAAAAGTTACTAGCCCAAATGTAGGTGGGAAAAGTAACAACTACGAAAAAATAAATTATTGTTGAATAAGTCAGGGGTTTAAGGTAATTCTTTTTAAAATTAAAGTTTTATTCTCACTAGTAAAATTGAATCATGCATAAATTAATAATTATGATAGAAAATAAAATGAATTTAAATAAATTATTTTTTCCCTTTCTCTGTGCATATTGCACTAGCTCATATAAAACGAAGTGAAATCGTTTTTTTTATCTTAAATTATTAAATACACTGGAAATATATTTTATGTACACGTAAATCACATAATACTTATCTTTCAGTTGACTGAGTGATCGTATATAATAGATATCTGCCTTAATTTACCATAAACACATGAATGGAGGAAATTCGGATTACGAAAAAAACGATCGTTTTTGGAAGTAAATAAGCTGCATAATGGACAAGTTTATGGAGATTTAGTACGAACAATAGGAGCATTCTGCCTGGAAATTTTTCATTGGTTGGGACTTTAATAGCAAAAAATAAGTGAAAATACCGGTAGTGATTTTCATTTATAACATTGGTATTTTTAATTTTTACTAGCCCAAGGGGCTACCTGCATGCAGAGAACAACTAGCCCGACCCCAAAAAATGGTAGCCCCGGGCGTCGGGCGATGCTAATTGCACACCCCTGCTACAAATCTATACATCTTTAGCAATCTACAAAAATTTTCCCCCACAAAAAAAAATAATAACACAGTAACAGCTTAGGCTACTATTAACTGCCCCAACCCCCCTTCCAACACTGTTGGCTTCCAGATTTCCAGTGAAGTGAATACACAATTGTTTTAAGACGGAAATTGAGTTAAAGAGAAAATTAGTTTATTCCACTTTTCACCAACTGAATTCCCATCATTTGAATTTCCTATTTGCTCAGTAGGAAGTTACAATTGGGATCTAGTAATGTGTATATTGATAATTACGTAAGATTTAAGATACAATGCAGCACCACTTCTGGTAATTCACACAAGTTTTTCCGGGGTTTAATCTCTCTGTATTTTCCCCTTCGTATATATCCTTCCCATACTTCATCATGTGTCAGCTATATACTGTAATTCATTTTTTATTTAATCACAAGAACTTTATTTTCATGTAATTATGCAAGATGGTCTGCTCGCAAAAATGTCATTCACAGGAATTTTTTTTTAGTATAGATTACATATACAGCACAATAACTAGAATTCGTGAAAATTTCTTCCCACTTATAAATTATGAAATACCTATCTAGCGAAAATAAGGTGTTGCAAAAATTTGATGATTTACAGTATTATGAAGGACTTTTTGTCAACAAATTAAACTTTTTTCAATTTTTTGCAAACATTTATAAACAGTACTCAGAGACTTTTATAAGCACATCTCCATTTTGAAAACTACCAAATCTTCAATAACTTTTGATTCAGAAGAAATTGTGAACCAGCAAAAATTTCTGTGCATCCTCAAAATCTATTTAATTCTATCATATTAAATCTAAAATTCAGGAAGGAGAAAATATAAATTCAAAGCAATCAATCTATAAATTATACAATGGCCATGTTATCAAATATCTGCCATTTAAACACAGGTGGGTGTTTTTCTATAGAAACTATTACATCACATGCCATATTTATACTAAAATATAAGGATAAATACAAATATGAAAGAATGTAGATCAATTGAATTGTGATAATATATATCAGTAATGTTGGTTGTGGCTCCAAGTTAAAACAAATCCATCTGATATGTTTGTTATGAATGAATATTGTCTCAAAGTCCTGCTTTCAAGTAGATAATTGTTTTACATCTTACAACATGTACAACAATATATTTTGTGTTTTATTCATAAAATATGAAATTGAATGTCCTTCACTATATAGCTGACAATAAGACGTGGAAGAATGTAAAATATTTTGCTACCAAACTGATGGGGTGAACTTATACCCTTTAATGGTTTATAGAACCTCTCAAATTACTCATCCATGCTAAACATGGATGAAAATTTATGTATATAAACATACAATTTAAATATAAAATAAAAATGGGGTCAATATAGGGGGACCATATACTTTTGAATGAAGGAGGCTGATTACTCTGGGCCCTCTCTTAATCCTGTGAATGGATTCTATTACTGAGGATATTCTCTTATCTTGACTGGTCACTTGCTGGATACTTTATCAAGTTTATCTTCCTTCCAGAATTTTTCACTCTTTGACAAGTTAAAATGTCACCATTTGCCAGCAGAAAGCTGTAAATTTAGACCTGTACTCTGCACTTTTGGCCATTGAGCCATGAGGGAACTGAGACCTGGGACCTCAGTTTATCACAGACTTATCCGAAGGACGGAAATCAACATCCTACAGCATGATTTGTACCTGTGATGTAAGGATCAACTCTTTACACTGCAACTCTACAACAGAATGCTTTAACCACTGTGCTACGCAGAGCATCTCTGAGATTTATCTCGTAAGAGGCTTCCGTTACTTAGGACCAGACTCTCTAACCCTGTAAAAGAGAAATCCCTCTAAAACCTGTAGAAGAGGCCATTACCCTGGAACATCTCTTCATCCTGTGAAAGAACATATTACTCCGAAACCTCTGTCAATTCATGAATGGTGACAACATTGAGGCACTTAGTTAAATTAAAAAAGCCTTACCCTAAATTCATTACATAGTAATTCTGAAGAAGATCACAATATGAAATTTTACATTATGTTCTTTTGTTTGTTTGTTTGTTTTGTTTTTTGTTTTTTTGCTGTTAAACAATTCTTTTTTTTAGATAACAAAACATTCTTTCACTCAGGTCACAGTGACAAAATCAGGTCAAGGTAGGTGAAGGTGTGTAATCACCTAAAAATATAGGTTATTCACAAGGTATTTAGATGAGATATGTTTAAATTAACACCTAGAACCAGACACATTCATTGTCTACAAACTTACTACTCTCCTTAACTCATGTGCATCAACATGTATTGGCAAATATTGCATCATGTTCAGTTTCGCCTAATGTATGAATCACCCTTCTCTCTCTCTCTCTCTCTCTCTCTCTCTCTCTCTGGACAACAAGGTCTTTACTCTAAAACAAACTTTCCAATATGCTATGACATTAAAACAGCAATACATTTTTTTCTGGGACCTACTCATGACTTTTCTATTAAATTTCAAAAATTCCTAACGTTTAGTTTCACCTGAGCACAGCAAATTGCAAAAATACTGGATTGAGCCACTTTCAACAAGTTTTTAAAAATAACTGAAAGTTCAAAGGAGAAAAACAGCAGTTTTAATTTCAGGAATTTCTTAAAATGTTTAAACCCAAGCATGAAAACCATATAGATTTAAATTTTTGCCAAACTGTGGAGCAAAAAAAAAATATAACATTTAATTAATACAAATTAAAAAATCTTTAAAGGGAAAAAATCACACTCATCCATTGGCATCACATCCATTACTCTCGATTACAACTGTGATATATATATTATTTATTTATACAATCACTGTGATATATATATATATATTATATATTTATCATGATTTATACAATCAACAATTTGCAAATGATGATCAATTACACTGATCAATGGTTGCTTCTAAATTGATGTCAGACTTTCGGAATTTTTCCATCGATTTCTATGAATCCATCAAAACTTTGTTTTCTTGTAAAATACATCTTTGGTTTTCAATTAGAAATGGTCTTAACCATAGTAACCCAGAGAAGAACCTATGTCAGTGACATTTTGAGAAAACTGACCAGCATTTATGGGAAAAAGTCTGTAAAATGCTATAATGTTTGGTAACTGAAGATGATATTTTTACATAAACATTTTCACCATTGCACAATTATATGTGAGAAACCTTTTAAGGCCCGTCCACACTTAAAAGTTAAATTCAAGCATTAAATCAGGTAAGCATGGTTAACTCACATCATTACCACACAGGGTACCTTGTACATGAACTTAACCCACAATGGACCATTCTGAATAAAGCTACACCACAATATTAAGGAACGCAATGTGAACATGATATGGATCTAATATTGTGGGGTAAATTTATTCAGGATGATGTTGTCTAAATCAACATGGACTGGTCTTAACACTAATATGTGGTCAACCATCAGGGCTGTCACTTAAGTTGTAACTGACCTGAGTTGTTTCTTCTAGGCTCGCCCCTTTAGACTCCCCCTCCTCGCTGGCCTGGGAGGAGGCTCCTGTACTGTTAGACATCCCATCGTCATTCCTGTCTGTCTGGAACGGCCGCAGTTTACTGCGAATCTGAGCCAGAGCTTTTCTGTTGTAGCCATCTCTAGAGAAACTGGACTTGCTTTCTACCAAGTTTGGTGTGCTCTGGGATAATTCTGGGCGATTCGGGAGTGGATCTGATTGGTCAGACTGAGAACCGCGAATGTGACTGAGACTTTCTCTCAGATCGTGTAGCATCTGCCGATTCGGGCCGCTGATGACCAGAGGCCTGCGGCCCGACGTGAGGTCCTCTTTTCGGGAAATCATATGGAAGCTTTACCATGTGTACTCCTTTCCCGTTAAATCTAGCTGATGCATATACATCCAATTACAGAAATAAATCCTTCACTTAATATTCCAAACCACACAGGGAGAAGAAAAAATACCCAAACACAATCACATTGTGAATGAATTAGGCCGGTGACCAATTCTGAAAGAAAAGGAAACAAAGCTAAATATTTTAAAGACTACTTTCACATCAATCTGCCCCTAAATTGCAAAGGAATTGACCGAACTGAGCTGTCATTGTCGAGGAAGTGAGGGATGTTCGCCTGTAATGGCCCCGGCATAAACGTGAGCGACCAGGCGTCGTGACACAACACGAGTCTCTTACCTTTCCAATATGTTTCACCAGACGGGCACCTGTTGCCTACAAAATATTCATCACAACAGAGTCCACACTGACAAAAATCAACTGACACTCTCTCAGAATACAGTCCTCACGAAATAAAAGAGATTTTTGCTACACAGTTCTACACGATATTGACAATTGCGCCGCCATGTTGTTTAGCCTTCCGAGGTTTTCTTATGAATACCAAGCGAGAAATTTAACGGATCTACGTTTGTCGATGTCCAGGGTTTGAAGGAGGGGTGAAATACAACTAAATATGTCATCAAACACTTGATAGTAATCAAAAGGTAAAAACAGGCGTCAAAACTTACCCGAAAAATCTCTTAACCTGCACTAGGACTCCTCTAAATTCAATATTCGGGTATTGGACGTCTGTATTATCTAGGGGTAACATTCCGCAGTCAGGTTAGTTGACCTAAATATAAACATGTCTAATTTTCCAGACTTGCAAAAGAATTAATTCATTATACAAAAAGAAAATACTCAAATTTACATAATTTAAGCAGCAGTCATCAATCAGAACTTCAAAGGACGAAATCATTTGAAATATTATTCGCTCATTGAGCTCCCCTCCCCTCATAAAATGGACTCGTCCGTTCCCGTGTGTGATTGACATGCGATTACGCCCATAACATTGTTGACATTCCTGAAAGATCACGTGATACTTTATAACACTTTTAGTGGTAAATATATTGATTGCATATCTTTTCTGCACATCAAAGAATATACTCACAACCCATTTCAGGTGGTACACACAAAGACATCAAATGATTTTTATTTACTTTTGATGTTAAAAACAGTCCAAAAAAAAAAAAAGAAAAGAAAAGAAAAGATTATATGTGTGCAAGAGATTTTGTGAACACAATAGATCTATTTTAAATATACCATTTCACTCATTTTTTTTTTTTCATCTTGCTCACATCAATGCACATCTATTTTTTTATTTTATTAGAATAGGGAAATTGTTTTGTTTATTTTCAAATGTAAAATATCAAGAGACGTGTCTGTGCTGAAGTTCTGCTGTCGTTGTAGAAAGCGAAGGACGTTGATGTTCCAAACACGCACCTTTTTTTTGTCAAAATATCATCAACATGGTAAAGACATTTTTCTCAGGCATGTAGAGCTATTATTCCATTAATTGTCTTTTTTTTTTTTTAAATTACATTTAATTGAAAAGAACTAATAAGCAAAAATGCATTCATTATCTTACACTCCCAAACGTACCTCATAGACATAAATAACTGACACGTTATTTGTGTCTCTGGTAATAAATATCGTGAATTCTTCTATACACTCATGAAAAATGTTTTTTGAACATAAAGAAACATGTATCAAACGAGAGTGTAAATATTTCATTTTCAGCATAGAGTGCCATACAGCCATTTACCCCCAGGAAAAGTGTTCTAATTGATGAATAGGGATTACTGTTGCTTATACTTTTTAAAAAAAGGGGTACATGCTGATAATGTGTTTAATTAATTTATCTTTCACATTGGGCAATTCACATCAAAGGCATAAGCATACATCAACTTTTTTCCAATTTATGTGTGTTGGAGAAAGGGGGGGGGGGGCAAAAGAAAAGGTGCCTGAAAAAAAAAAAAAAAAAAACTTTGACAAGCGAAAAAAGCACAAATGACGTCACATCACAAAATCTATTTCGTTGACTTTCCTTCCTTCCTTCTTTCTTTTTTTAGAGGGGGGGGGGTCCTCACTCTCTCTCTTTCAACACAAATAATAATATAGGATCAGCCTTTAAATGAAAATTTCCATACTAAATTAACAGCTAAGGATTTTTCTTGTAGAAAAGGGGGACACCCCCGGATGCATGCACATCGGCCTAATAAAATGTTAAGAATGCTTGAATTCTAAAAATATAGATTTTCAATTTATTTTTTTTTTTAAATATAATGTCACATCACTCATATTGCCTAAAATACCAAAGATCTATTTAGTGTCCAATGTATAGAGAGTCCTTTAAGAGGAAATAACCTGGATTCGCTACTTGACAAAATAATAAAAATGGCACCACCCCTCTTTCCATATCCTGTATTTCTGATGGGTATATAAATCACAATGGGGTCATATTTCTACCATTTCTTTTCTTATCCCCCCCCCCCTGTAACATCTACTTTTCTATGTGATAATAATAATTAAAAAAATGTATGATAATTATGATTTTTTTCCCTTGTATTAAGTCTTTATTCATATATGTAGAATTCGACGCCGTGCACTGCACTTCTTTATGTAGAAATGGAACTTAGAAGATAATTGTACAACGCTTACTCGACTGAACGACCCTCTTAAACGTGAACTTTTTCAAAGTCTCCTACTAAAGTCGATCCCTTTCTCGTCATGTTTTGCTCAACATTAGTTTTTCTTGATATTACCTTACATTATTATTGTATGCATTAATTGTGACATTCATCAAAGCCATTGTCTACATAGGATATTTATTGAAATAATTAAATCGAGGTCCAGGATGTAAGTGTTTCGTTGCCATTCTTTAAATTTTTAGGGTCAATGCGGTAGAAATTGCTGAACTTTACAAAGGTGAAAATGAGACACACGTGAATAATTTATTCCCAAGAGTTACGAATAGGTGAAGTAAGTAAACCTTTTACTATTAGTATTTTACAGTTACTCTACTCAATTGTGTAAACCTTTTATTTTACAGTTACTCTACTCAATTGTGTAAACCTTTTATTTTACAGTTACTCTACTTGTGTAAACCTTTTATTTTACAGTTACTCTACATGTACACCCTTTATTTTACAGTTACTCTACTTAATTGTGTAAACCTTTTATTTTACAGTTACTCTACTTGTGTAAACCATTTATTTTACAGTTACTCTATATACATGTAAACCTTTTATTTTACAGTTACTCTACTTGAGTAAACCTTTTGTTTTACAGTTACTGTACACGAAAATCGTTTAATTTACAGTTCCTTTACACATAAGTTTTTTTTTTATTTTACAACTACTCTCTACAAGAAAATCTTTTATTTTACAGTTACTCTACATGTACACCTTTTATTTTAGAGTTACTCTACATGTACACCCTTTATTTTACAGTTTACTCTACTTAATTGTGTAAACCTTTTATTTTACAGTTACTCTACTTGTGTAAACCTTTTATTTTACAGTTACTGTACACGAAAATCGTTTATTTTACAGTTACTTTGAGCGAAAATCGTTTAATTTACAGTGACTTTTCACGAAGTTTTTTTTAATTTTACAATTACCTTCTACAAGAAAATCTTTTATTCTAGTGACTCTCTACATGAAAGTCTTTTATTTTACAGTTACTATACAGGAATATCGTTTATTTTACAGTTACTCTACATGTACAACTTTTATTTTACAGTTACTCTCTACATGAAAATCGTTTATTTTACAGTTACTTTACAAGAAAGTCTTTTATTTTACAATTACTCTCTACAAGAAAATCTTTTATTTTACAATTACTCTCTATATAAAAATCGTTTATTTTACAGTTACTCCACATGTAAACCTTTTATCTATAGAACTTCGTAAATGTATAAAGGTTATGATTACAAGCGAAACTTCCGTGTCGAAGACTTCTGAGCCTTTATTGAGCTATACGTGGACTTTTGTTTTACAGTTACTCTTACGAATTTTTACGATAAATTAGTTTTATTCAAATGTTGAAGGATAAGGTCGATCGAGATAAAAAATTAAAACTGACGTCAAAAACAAAATAGTAGAATACGATAACAAATGAAAACCTGAAATATAATAGACGTAGTCATATTGTTAAAGTCTTTCGATAAAATAATTTTAAAAAAAAAAAGCAAATTCAGAGAATTGTATCACCGCCACCCCCGCTTTCAGTGTCTTAGTGGGGTGGATATAATTATTTATTGCAAATTGTTACTGTCTGTGTGTCCCGTCTTTTTACGTTTGTAAAGAAATTTACGTTTTTTTTCTTTTGACTGGGGTGGACCCCCCCCCCCCTTGGAAAAATATCCTGGATCCGCGCCTGAAAAGTAATTACCATTATCAATTTTTTTTAAAGTACTGAATTTAAGGTTAAAACTTTGAGGTAAAGGTGACGGGGTAAAAAAAAGAATTAACATTCGGAAAGGCCTTGTCACAGATAATGCACATGTCAAACCATCTTTTCTCATTCAAAAGTTTTGACCAATATTGAAAATTATTGAAAAGTAGGTCAAACTTTCAGGTCAAGGTCATGGGGTCCAAAATCATACATATTTAGAAAGTGCTTCTCACAGGTAATGCACATGTCAAATATGAAAGTCCTACCTTTTCTCATTCAAAAGTTATGACCAGTATATTAAAGTTTTTGTGACAGAAGTAAAGACTGACACGACGAATGAGATTTAATGTCCCCCTCGCTTTCGCAAAAGAGGGGGACAAAAAGTTATAGCCGATAAAGCATGCCCACCGCGAAGAAGTCCTAAATTTACCCAAATCTTAACGGTATAGTCAAGACGGATTCTAGGAAATCATTCCTAAGGTCAAGTTGAAGACATAATGAGTTCAAAATTACTAATCTTGATTCACCCACAGATGAATTGAAATGAAGATAATGATAGGCCACCCACACCTACAAATCAATGCATAGTTATGATAGGCTATCCACACCTAAAAATCAATGCATATTTATGATAGGCTATCCACACCTAAAAATCAATGCATAATTATCAATTACCAACATCAAGGTCAAAGGATAAGGTTTAGGACAAATGTGATTGATTGAAAACATATTTAATCTCGATTGCTAAACCATGATAATCAAAACGCGATAGTTTGCTATTTTTAATATTGGATATCCCGCAACATTGTAAATACGAATAGTTCGCTCCATGCATTATAATATTGTTTTTGTTTTAAAGCCCAAAGCCTAAATGGAATTCAACTTTATTATATTCTAAACATATCAGATTAAAATTATAGACACTCTGTAAATCTATGAGGATAAGATTTTAATTTGAGTGAAATTTTGAACTGGAATACCCACCTTGCCCTTTGAACCAAATATCTGGATTAGTTATTGGCCAGAGTAAGATTTTTTTTTTAATTTTCAGTAGGGAAGTAAAGAAGATGGGCGAACAAGGCGAGCGAAATGACTATAGTGCGACAAACTTGAAGGTTGAAAAATTAAATTTCAATTATAACAAAATTCTTTTTGATATTTCATCTAACATTAAAGTATACTTTATGTAATCTCCACAATCTGCAGAAATCT